TCTGCAAATGTAAAAAAGGTTTGAACCTGTTAATGGTTGCATTAGCCCAATACATGCATGTGAATTAAGTCGACACATGACAAAAAAGAAATAAGTCTTCTTATAATCCAGTGGATGCATGTGGACGTTACAGTCACTTCAATACTCAGGTTTACTTAAACTTAAATCTTTTCTTATTGTCAAAAAGCTCAAATTGTCTTCTCTGAAGCAAAACGGAATATCAGGCATAACCTGTATATCAGTCTGATGGTCCTAGGATATGGCTTATAACTATGGGAGGTGGCAAGCACAGCAATAACTGGAATAAGAATATAAAGCCCATCAAAGCATTCTGAAATATCTAAAGAGTACTCTGTTATGGCTGCAGACACACTAGTATAGAGCTTCATAACTTGGAGTAACTAGTTTTCAGGTGAATGCCATTCAGGTTTGCTGAAAGTGGAAGAATTAATGAATGCTTATAGAAAGGTATGTGCCTGAATATATTATGGCTATTAAATCCAACTATTGCTATTAATAAGCTAGTTTTTAATTATTTATCATTTATTTCTTAATGTCTTGACAACAAAAAAATCAGAGTTTATAAGTTATTAAATGCAACAGAGTAGAGTTTTATGAGATTTCCCTTCTTTAAAGTCATGGGGTGGATTCTACATTACTTTGCACCATGCAATATAGTTTGCTCCACTGCAAAATGCCTGCAATGACTGATGTTATGACTGGCATCAATTCAAGCCCTTTAAGCTTTAGAGTAAGTAAATAAACAGAATAACAGAAAATTTTAGCACAGTGTGGGTTACTGACAAGCTGCAATCATTTCCTAGCAAAGCTCAAGCTTCTTAAACAAAAGAAAGAATCTGGTATCTCCTGAGACCAGTGCAATCTCTCAATTTATACTATGTTGTACTGGAACAGACTCTAAGTAAGCCACAGAGATAAGCATTAAATCTACTGCTTTAAAACACTGCATTCTCTCATTCAAAGAAGTCTATTAAGTAAGTCTGACATATAGTACTGAAAACTCTTTACATGCTGCAAACATTTCCTTACAAATCAACAATAATAAAGAAACCAGAGCCTGATCTTGAAGCTTTTATTTTGAAACTTCAGTGAGGAATTGAGATTTAATCTCATCCAAATTGAATTAAGCGCCTTAAATTAGCAATACAAATTCAGTATTCCTGAGCTCTCATGAATCTAAGTGACAGGTGAAGGAAGACCTCCAGCTCAGACACATAGAGTACTTGATCAAGACAGAAGTGAACACAGCTCACTCATATTTAAAACATTCTTTCATATATTTTTAATAAAACAACTGATACAAATTCAAAACCAACTTCATAAATCAAACATTATTCAATGTATGAGGCTTCAAGGTTTCCCCTGTTATGGCTGTGAGCATGCCTGTCTCTGAGACAAGGGGTTTGCACTTGAATGCTTGAGGTTTTATGAAAGGTTTATTGGATTTCATAGTCCCTTAAGGGTAAACCCTTTAAATGTCTTTGCAATTATAAGTCTAATAACAATTTCAGCTCTTGGACAGAGCCTTGACTTGACAAAGATAAGGAACTGGAAGTTGCTCAGTCAATACAAAGCTATTAATCTCTGTCACCCCGCTGTCATTGTGGCTCAGGGAAACAATGTAGTTTCTTGACCTACGTGAAGCCATGTAGTGATTTTATTCAGGATGTCAGCATTCATCAGCACAGATTTTGTCACACCCCGACTCACTTGAAGAGCTCCCAGTTCTTTATCTTGACTGCATTGACACCCTTCAGTTACCAGTAGTTTGTTTCAGTCTCTGCTTATTATTATTATTTAGCACTTACTCATGTGTAAAAGCCTCTAAGAATAAAGTTTTCAGTTGGAATATAGGCAGTTTCATCATTGCCTCCTGTGTCCTCGGAGAAGGACAGTTTTAAGTTGCCAAATGCTATACGTGCTTGCATATTCAAATGAAGGTTAATTTTGTTCATCTTCAGTGAAATTAGATTATTATTTTTCCTTAGTGGTGTGCTTTTTAATGTCATCCTTCTCTGATCTTGAAACATAGCGTGAGAAAGTTGATCAAACTCTCGGCGAGTTATCAAGTTATTGTTCATGAGCTAGAAATACACAACTAGTGTGGATTTGTCTTAAATAAGCCAAATTTAGTTTTCTTTATTGGTTAGCATACCCATTCTATATGAGAAGCTACAAAAGAGATTAGTTAATGAACCTATTCTGAAGTCTTTGTGAGCAATGAAAAGACCCCTTATATTCTTCCAGAAGACTTTGGAGCAGGCTACAGTGTCATAGTTTGATGGATGTAATGTGTTTACATAAATATTAATACTTATTAAATATCACATACAAACAGCAAACTGGTGTAAAACAAGTAATATAACCAGTTCATACAGAATGATAACTGCACTCAGACCTTTAATAAATATTTGCTAAAGGAATTACTGAGTAATGAAAATGTGTACCACAACAAAAGCTAATTTAATTACGAGTAAAATAATGTATGAATTATGATTAGATGGATTATATTAACTGTCAAACACCAATTTACAATATTATACTAAACAATACATATAAAAGGTAGGAAAACCTAGCAAATACTAGTAATCTCCTTAACAAAATACTTAACAGAACAGTATTCTTGTACTACACTAAAGGTAGAGTAACTACACTGACCAGCAAAACTATTCTAGAATTTCTCTAAATAAATAATATTTTCAAAGTGAAATGACATTCTATCAAATCTGCAATGTTGATCATCATTTTTTACTGTATAATGAATATGGATGATACTGTAAAATTGCAAAGGGGGGGGTGTTTGGTTTTGGTTGTGGGTTTTTTTTTTTTTTCAGTGAGGAATTTCAATGCAAGAAACTACAAGAGAAAACTAACTTGATCTTGAAATAAGCCACTGTGTAAGCTAACACGTCAGGTAAAATGTATCAGCAGCAATAAACCCCAACTATTAATGGCCTATTTACAAATGTTAGGACAAATACTTCCACAAAAAATTATATACATTTATGCATTCGAAACCCAAATCTTCATGCTGTTTAGGTAAATATGAAACTCCCATTAGAGTCTAAGAAAAAAATGTATAACAATCAATTATATTTCTTTCAGATAGTCTAGGAGTTTTCTACCAACTCGTTGCCTTTTTTTTTTAAAATCTTTTCTCCCTCACTCTTCTGTTTGTCCCTTTACGATGTTCCCCTCTTTGTCCTACTACCCTTGCATTCTTACTCCTTTCTGCCCTTGCGTCTGTCTGTACTCTCCATCTGTTTTGCTGAACAGGTTGCAGAGCAAGTTATATAACTTTCAAATCCTCCGGCTGAAATTGGCTGCAACCAGCCTGCTGGTCTTACACTTGCTGAGTCAACCTGCTCTTCTAGATGTAGTCCTTCCAGTGTACAAGACTGACAGAGGCAGTGCTGGTTCAGCAAAGTCAACATGAATAAAGGTGAGAGTAGGCAGCTGCAAAAATAAGCTAAGAATTAGCTTCAAATGAAACTTTTGGCTGTTTGTTCTCTGAACACTTCAAAGTATGAAGGTTTTTAAGTTGGTTTATAATGTAGGTTCAACTGGTTGAGGCAAGTAGTTCCATTACTTTCTTTTTTATACTGGACAACCCTAAAAATCAACTCTCTGAAGACATCCATTACTCTGACTACAGAGATTGGAGTGAATGAGGAAACTGAATTAATGTATCATTTGTCATCTTCTAGATTTAATCCTGTTAAGGCAAGAATCTGTGCTCGTTGAAGCCTATAAAGCTGTTCCCAGTAACAGAGAATTAGCACCTACAAGTACAGTTGGAATTGCTGTTTTCTCCTACTTTCTTCTACACTGCTATAGTCTATATCAAACCAATGGCCAATATCTTTTGGTGTATTTTCTTCCTCAACTATCACTTTCTCTCCTCCTTTCAATCTTTCTGTTGTCTTTATCTTTTCCTCTTCAGTTCCACTAATCACTTTTTCTGGTATTACAGCCATTACTAAGAAGAAATACCACGCCTTACCTCATGACATATCTTACATATTGCATATTTGCTTCAAATTTTCATAATTCCTTTAAGCCAAAGACCTTCTCACTATTGTCAGCATGTGTCTATGTGCATATATGTATTTAGGCATGCACACATGCAGCATCTGTCAAAATAAGCTCTCAGGTACTCAGGGCTGTTAATACACAATAACAAAAACAACAACATAGAGACTATTACCAATTATAGAACCAATGATTATATCATTCATTCTGTTCTCTCACACTATTTAATTAATACTTTCTTATCAAAACAAGCCAGTACTTTTCATCCTTCTGGACCAGTGCCAGCACCACATTGCAGTTTGACCAAGTGTACTGCAAAATAGCCACAAGCAGGTTGAAAGCCTATGGGTAAGAATCAGAGGCCGAGGCAACAAAGGGAACCTTGTGGTTGGTGTCTACTACACGCCATCCAATCAAGGGGAGCCTGTTAATGAAGCCTTCTTACTCCAGCTACAAGAAGCATCATGCTCACAGGCTGTCATCCTGCTGGGGGACTTCAACCACCCCAACATCTGCTGGAAAGGTAGCACAGTGAGCTATAGGCAATCCAGGAGACTCCTGGAATACATTGAGGATAATTTCTTAAGCCAGGTAATAGACAGCCCTACCAGAGGGGATGCGATACTGGACCTGTTGGTCCCCAACACAAGTGAGCTAACCGGTGATATCAAGATTGGAGGCAGCCTGGGCTGCAATGATCATGCACTGGTGGACTTAACAGTCCTGAGGGATGCGGGTCAGACACTGAGTAAAGTCAGGACCCTGAATTATAGGAAAGCAAAATTCCAGCTCTTCAAGGAGATAGACTATAGGGTCCCCTGGGAAACTGCCCTCAGGGTCAAGGGAGCAGAACAGAGCTGGCAGATCTCTAAGGACACTTTCCATAGAGTGCAAAAGCTCTCGATACCCAGGTGTAAGAAACCAGGAAAGGAAGGCAAGAGACCAGCATGGATCAGTTCAGACCTGCTGGTCAAACTAAAGTGCAAGGAATTGCACAGGCAGTGGAAGCCGGGACAGGTATCCTGGAAAAAGTGTAGGGACACTGCCCACTTGTATAGGGATGGGGTCAGGAAGGCTGAGGTGCAGCTGGAGCTAAACTTGACAAGGGATGCAAAGAATAATAAGGGTTTCTACAGGTATATCAGCCAGAAAAGGAAGGTCAAAGACAACATATCCCCACCCTGCCCTGATGAGTAAGACTGGCAGACTGGTAACAACAGACAAGGAGAAGGCTGAGGTACTCAACAACTTCTTTGTCTCGGTCTTTGCTGGCAACCTCTCTTCCCATACCTCTCCAGTGTCAACAATTTCAAAGCTTTCTTTATTCTTTCTGTGAAATTAAATTCTGGAACAAAAGAGACTTTGGTGTTATGAAGCATTTCAAATGCAACAGAACCATGTAGCATACAACAGTATAATTTTAATGTGTTTTGGGTTTTGGTGGTATTTTTTTTTTCACACTCAAATAGCAGTTATACTAGGCACTGCATATACATATTTACAATATATGTACAAGTCAGTCCACAGAGAGGAAGGAAAAAATATTTTAAGACTGACTTATACAGATGAGGTTATAACTTTGTCATGCAAGTAGTTCAGAGCATACCAGAAACTAATCTCAGGTGAGCAGATTCCCACTCCAGTGCCTTAAATAAGTCTCTTGTTCTCTAGCTCAATAAAATCACAAATGCAAAAATGAAACTGTATTTCTTAATGTCTGTAATAATAAACTTATAAATTCTGAAAAGAATTCTGTCTCATCAAAAGCAAATTTTAAAAAATGAAGATTTGTTAGGATTTTCTATCTATTGTATAGTGAAAGCTAAAAAGAAAAGTCAGCATAGTGGTATTTTTTCATTATTTCTGGTAGGTTAAAATCTAAAAACTTAAGTTCAAAGATAATTATTACTATTGTGCTGGGCAGCCTACTAACAAACATACAGTGCTTTGCTCCTTTCCCCAGTGACTGTAATTATTGTTCCTTACAAACTGCAGTATCTCTGGGGAGAGTAATGAAGTAGTGTGTGGTTTTGCACAAATCACGGTCAGAGCTAGAGATCTGTCCTAACAGAACAGACCAAATTCTTGTTTGCAACAGGTCAAGAAATGCCTTTACAACAATCTCGGTGGGATAAAAATTTCAACATAAAATTCCCCCTCTCATTTCTAAATGTAGCTACTGGTAAGTGCTTTAGAGGGAACTGTCAGCCCCTGTAAAAAAAACCCTAAGTCTGCAGTATCAGAATGTTCTTGCTTTCCACAGCAAGTTATTCACACTTTTTGTAGTTTACTTCATCCAAGTCTTATAGCCAGTGGGAAATTAATTGTATTTGGATTAGGCCAATAGTAGTTTGCAATCAGTAATTAATATTTTGCTGATGAAATTGTATTAGATATTGCCCTTACAAAGAGGGATTTACAGAGTAGAAAAAAAGCCTTAAGGGAAGCAGTAACTTGGCAAGGTATAGTTGCAGTGGGGATAAGTAGAATTCTACTGTGTTTAAGTTTTGAGCTTCTAGAGTTTCACAGCTCTCATAAATAGGAGTGTATTTGGGTTTATTCATTCACAAATCATGGTATGTTACAACATGATTTGATCTCATTCAGGGATAAACCATTCCAGAGTGAAAAACTATTATGCATTAACCACCCTTATATAGCTGCTGAAAGCGTTTGCTTTTCATCTCATGTCTCATTATTCACCTTACTACAGATCTGTGGGTGTAATAATCATAAAACGATCCTAACATCCTATTGTATACCATTACTGAAAATGTAACATGACTGCTTATATTCAGTTTACTACTTGACCACTGTGGATCTGGAAGTTGTTGCTATGAATAGCAATGTATTTTTGCATTTTTGCAGGGGAAATTCCAGCACTCCTGAATCCTGTATCATAGGAATTAAAAACAAGGTCTTATAAATCAGTAAGGGCGGCCAGGCCTGAAAATAGAGTTCCTTTTTTCAAAATAAGTTATCTAAACAACACCCCTACATGAGGAACACAATATGTGTAATTAAAGTTCTGAACAGAAAAACAGCATGCCCTGATTATACATGGTCAATGAAAAGGGAGAACAGCTTTTGAAATCTTCCAAACAGACAAGTCAGTGATACTCCATAAAAAGATGGGGGGAAGGTCACATTATGTTAACTTAAAAAATGAGACAAGCCAGTTCAAAAACTACAGTCTAACTCTGATAGTGGACTACAGAGCTTGGAATTATTTTGCTTATTTTGAAGGTTAGTGGATACCTCATATTGTTCTCTCAATGTCTTTTTGATTGTTTCAACTCCTAGACTTTACACTTTCTGAAGAACGTCAGTCAGAAGTACGATGGATTAATCTCTTTTCTCCTCTATCTGATCTCTTCACTACTGCCTTTGACCTCTGGGTAAATTGGATTTGATTTTAAGTTGCACATTTATTACATCTTCATATGGACTCCTACAGTGCACCTATTCTGAAATCTGATGTTTATAAAACAAAGAAATTTTACTCTTCAAAAGGCAAATAAAACATTTCACATTAAATACAAAACCATGCTATAAGTCTAGGTTTTGAAGAATAGTAAAAAGGAGAAAAGAAAACTGGTGATATTTTAAATGCTAAAATCAGTCATAGGTGTCATCCAAAATGTCTTTCTGCCATTAACACAGAATTCAACAAAAAGATTTATTTGAATGAAGACTGCAGGATTCACTATAAACCTTTTTCCAGATAGGAAGCCTATTAGTATGATGTTATTCGTGATTGACAAAGGATATTTGAAATTAGTCTAGAGGTCATTGACTAGAACTATGCAACTATGCTTACAGCAGCTCTACATCAGGTCCTGTTTTAATACACACACACAAAAAAAGTCATAATGAAGCACTTAGGTTTGCTTTACAAACACCACACTCACAAAAAGCCGGGAAGCGACAGGGTGAGCCACTGCATACTTTATTCCAAGAAGCACATGCTTAAAAAGCCACATATATTACTACAAACTCTGCTAAAGAGTAACTACAACTCTCAACATGACCTGTTCCCCTTAAAGAAATTTGTCTGTTCTACAAGATAACAAGTCTTGCTTTAACGAATTTGTAGTGTGTTACAGTTTCTTTTTCCTCCCTCAGTGTTCTCTCCCACTCTCTGCCTCCGCCCCTCCCCGCCCCCAAGCTGCTGCAGTACATTTACAATTATTAACTGGGGTGAAGTATAGACAAGAATAGGAATAAGAGGTAAAAGTTTACGAGAGAACATCAGTGTAAGTGCTGGATGTAAATGAGAACAAAGGTATGCTAGTTAAGGCAGAGAGACAGGAAAAAAAAATCTGAAGTAGCAAAAAAAGTTGCTGTTAATGGAAAAGATTTCAAGGGAAAACAATTCTCCCTGGTGAATATAGAAAATTCTATCTATCAGTAATTTTACTATTCATAAATTTTTTGCAGACATGTTTTCTGCTATTAGAGTAATTATGTTACCCAACTTGATTTTCTTTGAGAACACTCCCACACATTGTGCCTTATCTACCCAAGATAGCCTTATTTAAGAAATATAGCATGTATATGCAATACCTTCCAAAAATATCTGTCAATAATGAAAAGCCAAAGTCCAATGACAAATTTCAGCCAGAGGCAAAGTTACAGTAACTCCTATGAAAAATATATAAACAAACAACCCCCCCACAACCCT